TGGTGTGCTGCATTGTGCTGCTGTAATATATCAATTATTCTTTGCACGGAGTAGTTTTTAGTTTGTGGTAATTTGAAGTCCTTCCCTAGTTTTGAAGCCTTGGATGTTTGGAAACTTTATACTGAACTGTGTAGGACTCTCCTGCAGCTGCCATTTCACCCAAACTGGAGCCCGTAGTCCACCTGATGCAGCTGTTACAACTTTTAAAAACCACAATGATGCCTTTTCTGCATCAGCGTTACCAAGGAAATCAACTTTTCTGACTCCATCATCAAGCTCTGCAGAAGCCTGATAATGCAATTTTTGCACTACTCTCCTTTTTGCACTACTCTCCTCTCCTTGTTTGCACTATTTCTTATATTTATATGTACATTTTTTATTTTTATTTTTTCCTGTCTTGTATATGTGTACCTATGTTGAATGCTGCTACCAACGATGTGAATTTCTCCACTGTGAGATAAATAAAGGCATATCTTATCTTATCTTATCTTAATGATCCTGATCATTTGAATCAGGTGTGTTGGAAGAGGGAAACATCTAAAACATGCAGGATTGTGACCCTCAAGGACCAGGATTGGACACACCTGACCTAAACCTTCATTAGTTACGTCCTCCTTTTAGCTCTGTTTTGCCATCCACCAATGCCTGAATGATATTTTTAGCATATAAATGTAACCAAAGTTAACCAGATAGCTGGTCCAGGGGCTTAAAACTATTTTTTTCAAATCTGAAAACTGTTACAATGCTCAATAGATCTTTAAGAAACTGCAAAGTCAGATGATAAGTCTCAGTAGGTTTGTGACAGTTGGCAACCTTTTTCATATGTACAGTTATTTAATCAATAGTTCATATATATATATTGGTAATGCATATTATAAATGGATGCTAAATATGATTTCATATTTGTTACTGTTGGGTCTCTCGCTGCTGATTACAGTCCTCATACTGATTTATATCGTCTTCCCAGTGAACCGGTTCTGTTCTGTCTCTGTTTACCTACGGTGGGCTCCGGTGATATCAGTTTGTGAATGCCTAGACATGTTTTCTCTTGGGGAGAGGAGAGGAGAACCGTCACTCCTGGGAAATGCCTGGAATCTGAGAAGCAGAGTGGGAGGGGATTTCATCATGATAGGGCAAAGGCTGGTGAGAGAAGGCATTGTTGGCACAGCTCGTAATGCAATTAAAAACCTCGAGCACATCTGGCCATCTGGTTTACCTCACCTTTGTTAGCATGTAAGCCACACACACCTCAATCATCTATACAGCACAAAGGGCTGTAATAAATCCTGCGGTTTCTGAACAGAGATGGAGAGATATCATTCCCCATGTGTTTCCTAAGCCCCTTCCAGACATACACTCCTCTCAGTTAATCTGATGCGATCTAAACGTATCAGCGTCATGTCTGAATGAGCATCTCGGCCACTTTTCTGTAAAGACGACAATCTTCTCGGGTTTGACCGAGCAAGGTTTCTAGTAACATTTACGTATCACTTTCAACATGGCACAAGTCTGAAATACATACAGTCGCATTAGCTGACAGGTAGGCCTTTGTGATTAGTGAGGTTATATTCTGTATATAGTTGTGGGAATGCATCCATTCACACAATAATCAAGCAACTGCTCCTGTGACACTGTAAATCCAATGTGTATCTGCAATAATAGCTTTTAAAAAGAACTACATAGGACTGAAAATATTTCATGAATGCATCAGACTTTCACTTAAAATAAAATTCCAATCAAGTAGAAACCTGAGTACACCAAAAACTGCAGTTCCTCAAATGGCCACTTGAGGCTTCCTCCAAAAGTGAGTCAATCCCCATAGACGGCCATGTGAAACTTTACAGCAGAAATCTACATGTTTACTGCCTATTGTAAAAACAATTTCGGTTGCTATAGCTAATTGTCCCATTCATTATAACTGTATGTGGCAGGGATTTTTATATAACTCAACGATTTAAACTGTATTAGGTTCTAAATGTATGCATAAATAAGGGCGTTGCTGCTTTCTTTTGGGACAGATGGGGCCCGTAGAACAGTTCATGATCTGGAGATGGCATGTCAGCTCTAATTCCTTTTGTCATGTCATGTCAAGTTTTTAATTTGCCTGGAGTTCGGAGAAGTCAGGCACTGCCTTACATGATCAATGGCTGGAGCTACATCACTGAGCTTCAAAACTGTTGTTAATGTATGGGTGGGTTCGTCCTTTTTTATATCCCAACAGCTGTGATGGTGCTCAGGACTTAATCTGAGGATCTAAAAAAAAGTGTAGCTTATGACAAAATGCCATCGCTTCACCAGACTGTATCTCTTGTCTGAAAATGTCTTTAATGTTATGACTCAGCTGTTTTCTTTAAACGTGCCTGTCCCAACTTTGATGACAGTGTCAGATGGTGGTATTTGGTTAACCTTCACACGGCACGAAGATAACGCTCGAACCTTGTCGTCTCTTAACTGAAAAACCTCTCCCGTGACTCACCTAACATGCGATAAGATTGTGCTTTTTCACAAAAAAAAATCTGTCTTTTATTTACCTTTTAGAAGTTGCTGGGTCACATTGTTAAGCTGACAAAGAAAGACTCCCACTCTGAACACTTCAGTGACTTCAAAATGCAGCGTTCTTTCATGTCAGATCAGGTTGGGAAATGGTCGTATATCCAACATGTCCAAAGACAATAAGGAAGGGGAGACTTCCAAGAAAAATCCAGCAGTTTTCATTAGATACTGATCTCTTGTGGACTCACAGATGGTACAGTACTTTTTCTCACAGCAACTTTGTCTATCAAGACTTACCTCTTTGTGCTTCTACCTTTGTACTGTATGGACTAGTGGTACTCACTGAAAATTATTTTATCAATTACCTCAATATTTTCATCCTGAATGCTTTAATTTAGCAAAAAAAACACGGGAGATCTAATGTGCCAAGGTGTAATGTGAGGCAAAGTGATGCGGAATTTACAACTTTGTGTGTTTTCCCATCCCTCGTCTGGCATCCACAGTCCTGTAGGGGTCAGAGCTTTACTGGAGGGGTCAGAGTTCACATTTAGTCACAGTGAGGCGTGGTTTGTAAGGCCATAACCAAGCCTAGCAGGGTACGTCTGTGGCATTTGACACAGGAAGAGATGAATTTGTTAAAGTTGGGAAACACTTCACATGCCTCAGGGAAGGTCTGGCTTTTGTATCAAATTAGATTTTAGGAGGAGTTCCTGTCTGCATCATTAGGCCATTCATTGTCCTGGGAGTGTTTATTTTTAAACCCTATGTATGTATTTACAGTTTGACTTGTTTGTCTTGCATTTTCCTTCATCCTCTGTCCAGTGTATTGTTGCAGTGCTTTTCACAATCACCTTTTGCTCAATATCTATATTTAACCATTTTGTTGTCTCTTTATTCTGGGAATTATCCAGAGTCTGAAGTTTGGGTTGCCATAATTGGTCTCGGTGGCGGTACAATTCAGTCTCAAATCTCAATCCAAAATCTGTTGTACCATGTACTAAACAGTCTCAAGTTCTGAAAGCTGGCATTGATGCTTGGTTTTACTGGCAGTGTTGTTTACCGTTCAAGAAATTCATTAAAAAACCAAGACTAAAAGTCAACCATTTCTAGTTTAAAGGACTGAGGCTGTAAAAAAAACTGAATCAATGTTGGTTAAAATGGTTTGCAGTCCATCTAGTCATTGAGATATTTGTTCTGGACCTTTGCAAAATGATTACATTATATCTACTTTATTTTTTTAAAGACCTCCTCCAGTGAAACTCAAGTTTTGTTTTGTTTTTTTGCTTTGGTAGCATGTCTATATGGTGGTGTTTATACGCTAGAACATCCACCTTCAAACTATTACAACTGGTCGTTTGTACAGTGCAGAGTAGCTTTACAGTGTTTGAGAAGAATTGTAGGTGAGCTGGTGTGCTCAAGCTGTGGCAGTGGGTAGGAGGGGCCTGAAGAGAGACACTGGAGACTTTATACATATGCACATTCAAGAGGAAGCAACCATGTAGAGTTACATCTAAGCCATTTTAAGGCAGAGAAGAATTACTTTCATGAGAAAAAATACATAAATATGTGACTTTGCTACACAGGGATAAGTTAAATGAATGACCGGAGAGCGACAACACACAATCAATAAGAAAAGTAGCTTTGTGTAGTTTTATTGGGGGACTGTGTGCAAGACTACATCTTCAAGACAGTGAATAATCATATTTCCCTACATGAATTCCTTTAGCTGAAGTTTGAATGGCTCATTAAGGGTCATGCAAGATTCCAGTCAACAGCTGATCTTCTATCTTGCATGCTCCGTGTCTTCTCCAGTCGTGTTGCCACAAAGTGAATGCTGTAAAGTCTTGTGCATCAGGCAGTTGGTGGTAGAAGCGTAAACTTGGAAGAAGCAGTGGGTTATGCCGGTGTTTCTGCATTGCCGCGCACGTAATTGTGTATTAGACTGCGAGTGCTCGAGGGGTTGTTTGTGCAGCGTTGGTGCCAAAGTGATTGAAAGCAGCGTGTTTCATCGTGTTGGGGCATATGAGTCTGCCTCAAGGCAACAAGTCATCCACGTGTAACTCTGAAAAGTCTCAACTTGCCCCAACCTCCAATCCCTGGCATTTGCTAAATCCTGTATCTGTATGTATAAATAAGTGCACCTCACATAAGAGACTTCCACTGATATCTTTATAAGTAGGATGTTCTAATGTAGAACAGTGGTGCGACTGTAGCTGCTAAGTCAGTGGGTTCACTGGCACCTTATAGATGGCAGCTAGTTAAAGGTTAATAATGTTAAAGCCGGGGAAAGAATGTGAGAGAATAAAGAATGTGAGTTAGCTATTAGTCAATGTGTGTGTGTGTGTGTGTGTGTTTACACAGCAAGCCTTTCCCAGGTGCTATACGATCCCTGGGATTACAGTGGAGGGTGATCCAACACACACACACACACACACATACAGAGCACCACCATCTACCCCCCAAAAGCAAAAAGAGGAGGGGAGACGGAGCGAGAGAGGGAGGTGGAGGGAGATAACAGGTCAGATGGAGGAAGGGATTCAGCAGACTGGAGCTCACCTCCAGTACAAAGACTTCACAGGAGAGAGCACACAGGGGAGGATTTGACTCTGGAATATCTCCTACAGTTTCTCTTCTGTGTATGAATGTCTCCTCTTTAACTTTGAAGAATGGTGGGACTCTCATCCACCGCTGTTGAGGGTAAGTTTTGGGGGAAAAAAAGGCTTTTATAAAGAGACAACAGATATCTAAAACTTAAGAAGGGATTTGTTAGGTCGGAAGAGGACAATAAAGACATTCTAGCAATGAGGATATAAAGGTGTCTTGCTTTCGCAGCACAATAGAGATCAGGTGATGTTTACTTCATGCCTTCAGCATCATGCCAGCTGGCTGAGACACCGAGGAAAAGGCTGTAATGTTGAATTGTTGAGAAAGCAACCGTTTGCCACCCAGACGTTATAGTGAAACATTGTCATTTTTTAAATCTCTAAAGGCCCGTTGTGGGTTGCAAATTCTTGTGTGATTGGCTGGAATGTCTGTCTGCAATGATGTTGTGAAACACAAGTTGCTGCTGAACGGCTGAATTTTGTCACTTTCGACATACGCTGAAGTAATTTGTGTGCTCAGAAATGTAAGCTCAGCATGAAGGAGGTGTAAGGAGGGAGCAGAAAGAAAAAATCTGTGCACCCAATCGAGGTCGTATTATTCTTCAGATCAGCGTTTGTTGGACGTGTTAGCACAGGTGTTCAACTCGCTGACATTATTCACCCCCCTCCACCCTCACCTCCTCCTGCCCTCTACGCCTCACAGCTTGTACAGAGTCTGCAAATGTGAGCTTCTGTTAAAGGCCTGCGTCTGCAGTGTTAAACAAACTATTCTCTCTGCCTGCCGAAAGGGTACACATGCACACACAAAGGCGCTATGCAGAGTCTTGCACTTTTAACAAGGTGAGGAATGTGTCTGGTGTTTAACAGCAATTGTCAGGCAAGTGTGAGGAGGTAAATGTTTGAGTGTGTCTCAGACTTTGAAAAGCTTTACACATTCCTGCTCCAATGTCTGTGATTTTTATTTTATATTATAAATGGGATGTATCCTAGAGCCAAAAGTAATCAAAGCTTAGAATAAAGTCACTGGTTTGCTCTTCCTGTTGCTGCAAATACTCCAACTTCACTTAATTTGAACCGCATCCAACTTGTTTTCATGTAACACTCTTGTGTGCAGTTCCCCTCAGGTGCTAAGCTAAAAAAAAAACAGTTTTATCTGAAGACATCAAAGACGCATGCCATGCACAAACACACACATGAACAGTTGCGGCGTAGATTTAAAGGATCGTGCCTTGTTTTTGATGTGCGAGAACTCATGTGAGTAGTGTGGTGTTGATTATGAAGGCATGACTGGAGACTTAAGGGTGGTCTAATGCGCCTCACTTGCCAAATACTACGAAGTATTTCCTCGCTACTTTTTTTTTTCTTTCTTTGGCACAAGCAGAACAACACTGTAAATAGGATAATCAGCTTCTTTTTTTCATCATAGCACCGGTCCAAAGGAAATTGCGAAATAGCTTCATGAGCATCCCGTTTGCTTTGAAACCTTGATTTCTGGGTTAAATTTGATTTAGTGCTGAGTGGTGTAAATTTCAATTTCTCTCTGCAGCGCATGAGTCACGCTGTGGATGAGGTTTTGTCTTACGCTTTGTTAGGGGAAGCCCAGTGGTACGCCAGAGCCAGAATCTAAACAGCTGGAACCTCTGGCAGGGAGACAACATTTCTTACCAGGCCAAGACGTCCCACTCTCATGAGTTTCCTCTCCTCCTGCGAACTCCACTTCCTTAGTTCCCCTGGGTGAATCGGATCTTAATGAGGAGACATTCCAGATCCCGGGAATTAATTCCTCATGCCCACTTCTCGGATTGAGAGCACGCTATTATAACAATGGAAGGAAACCGCACTAGTAAAGAAGACACAGGCGAACACACACCTCTGGTTGACTGTAGCCTTGGCAGGGCATTGTTGGACCCATAGGAAGACCCACCTCAGGAAAGTATGTCTGTCTTCAAGGAGTGGGAGCTTGAAAATGTAAAACATACGTCACTGACAAACAATAGATACATCTTCCAGTTTATCTCCTTGTCATCCCATGCTGGTGTTGGAATCTAGCATTTTGCCTGAATTCCTTAGTAAGCTCTTTAACCCTGCAAACATACGAAGCGGCTCCAGGGCCTTTTTCTAGTGTCTGACATTCTCTGCTGACACACCTCACTAAATACATAAGCCTGCCTGTGTGTTGCAGGTTTTTCTATATGTCTGCATGGGTTCAGCGCAACAAGGTCTCGTTGCCGTATGACCGCCCACAGAACAAAGAGGTTTCTGGCTCAGCGGCTTGTCCCGTGCCTGACCTCAGCAAGATGCATGGTTCAGTAGGTCTAAAGGCGGCTGGACTGTGAAAATGGGGCAAGAGGGGGGAGCGAGAGGAAGAGATGGAGTGAGTGTGGAGTAGGGGTGGTGGGAGGGGAGGCAGACAAGTGAGCCAGCAGTGACTCAGCCTGTCGTCAGGTTTCGCGGATTAGAGAAATGTGTGTTAGGATGCAAAGAGGGGGAAAAAAACAAAAGATGTTGGGGAAAATAGCCGAGGACGACGAGGTTGCTTGGCGGCACTTGCCTGTGGTTTTAGATAAGATAAAGCGGGAACATCAGGTTGCAAAGCTTTTCTCGGGGCGTCCAGCGGTCGAGGGGAGTGAAGTTTTGTTGTGAAAACAGGGAGCGGAGCGGTCCCACCTCTCAGATCAACATATGATGTGAATCATATATTCCTATAATCTTCCAGCACCTGCAGAACCCTTTGAAAGCCCGTCTGAGCCAGCTTGTGTTTTTTTTTTTGTGAGAGCATGACTTCAATCTGCGAGATAAAGATCAGATCCCGGTGAACGACTCTCTCTTGCCGGTGCATTTGGCTCGTTCTGGGCTCTGTAAAGTGGTCCTTGTCAGAACCTCATACCAAACCATACCATTAGCTGTACCCGCGTGTCCTTTTTAGAGGCTCACGGGGCAGGAGGAAAAAAAAAAAGCATATTTCTGCCAAAATCCTTTACAGTCCTTGCAGCACAGTTATTTTACCCTCGTAGGGCTGAGACAGACAGTTGATTGAAATTTGTTTTTGTGCCCATCTGTCCGTGAGCCAGCAGCTTTTAAGAGCAGTATCTGTCTTTATTCAGGAAGTTGTGTTCCTACGCGGTTTAAGTGTTGCTATTTTTGGCGACTTCGGATCCACTTACTTTTTGGGTTAATGAGCAATTAGCAGATGTGTTTCCTGTCACCGAAGCCTCTTTATCATTGTTTAGTCTGGTTTAGACAGCGGAGGACAGGAAGGGAGGCTGAGGCGGCAGATTGACGCTGACAAACTGTGAAGCAAAGTAACAGAAAATGAAAGGAGGACACAGGAGAAGCAAAGCAGAAACAGGCTTGTGGACGGACACCTGGGGTTTGTTTAGATTTGTCGGCGTGACCTCTGCCCTCTCTGCTAACACGCTGAACCCGTGTCCCCACCGCCTTCTGACCTTTTCGCCTTCTCCCTCCCTTGTGCAGCCATGGAGGTGTTGGTGAGTGAGCTGGGCACGCTGCTGAAGATGCTGGACCAGGAGAACCTCAGCTCCTCCACCCAGGAGAAGAAGACGTCCGTGTGGAACCTCCTGCAGCAGATACAGCCAGCAGGTCAGAGAGTAGAGACGGACCAAGTGACTCAATCCATCCGTGAGACGTTCAAACTAGAGCTGCAGCAGTCAACCAATGAATGGATTTGCTGTCAACTATTACATTAATCACATCCTGTTTTGATAATTGACTAACTAGTTTTAATTGGGGTTTTTTTAGGACAAAAGAAGTCTAAATTATGTGATCTCAGCTTATTTAATTAGAGTTTTTTTTCTGTTTTTTTCCATCACTAATTCTGTCACTAATAATTTTCCTATTTATTAAAGTTTGGATGTTTTATAGACCAAACAACTAATTAGTTAATCATGAAATGAATCAACTAGTTAATCAAGAATAGAAATAGTCATCAGTTGAAGCCCTAGTTCAAACATTTTCACAGGAAATTTTAATTATCAAGTAGATCTTTATTGCATCAGACTCTCAAAAGTGAGTATTTTCTGCCTGAAAGCAGGCAGAATGCACTAAATTTGGTGTATTTTGTGGCTTAGGAGAAACAGCATGTATTTGTTTAAAGATTTGTATGGTTTGAAATTTAAAAAGAAAAAGATTTTAACTGAATTGTCTTCATCTTTTCACTTATTTCGATATGAGGCTGCTCTAAATGTCTGTGTTTTCTTTCCTCCTCTCCCCCAGTGTCAGGAACAGACTACATCTACATGAACTCATCAGTGTACAGAAACGGCACGAGCTTCGTTGAGTCGCTCTTTGAGACATTTGGTGGGTGATGTACAACGTGCACATATCTGTATATGAGAGAAGCAAATATGTTTTTAATGTGTGCAAAGTGGGAGTTTAATGTGTTGCTTACTGTTTTTTTTATAGACTGTGAGCTTGGAGATCTAAAGGATGTTACAGAAGATCTGAAAGAAGATAAAAACACACAAACGGACACTTTAAAACAGGCAAGTGGAAAACACAGAGTAAAATCCTTTTTCATGAGTATCATTTATGTATGAATGCTTTATATCCTGAAGGTAAAATGACACAGAGTGTGTGTGTGTGGGCTGTGTGTTGTTCTGTCTTTTCAGCACTCACTGACCCAATCCAACTTTTCAAATGATTATTGCACCTCCTTCTAATGGGCTTGTGGAGAAAAAGTGATGAAAAACAGAGAGATTGTATTCCATAGTGTGGGGGTTTTCCCTTTGCTCACATGCTCATCAATCTGCAAGCTGTTAGAAGATTTAGGGATCCACCCAGAGCCCATGTGTCTAATTTATGGAAATCATTCAGAGGTTTATGTATCTCTTTGATTATGCAGCTCTTTGGCTTTTAAAAAAAAAAAGTGTGGTTATTTGAGAGTTATGTTTGTGTTTATGTGTCTCCCTTAGCAGAGCTGTGCAGACTCCCTCGCCCCACACTCCGCTGACTCTCCTCCCCCTCTGCCCACAACGCCTCCTCCCGAGGAGTACTATGAGGAGGCAGTGCCCCTCAGTCCTGGAAAGATGCCCGAGTACATAATCACACGAGGTCAGCATGCTCCCGCCTCAGCTGAACTCAGTCACCTTCGTGTCAATCCTGTAAAAAAGCTTGTGCTCAGGCTTTAAATGATACAAACTCAGTCGTACTTCACTCCAAACTTAATTACAAAGTTACATCAAAGTAAATGATGGAGCATAAGGTCGAATTAGTTCTTGTTTTCATCTGTTTCCAGTCAGGCCCAGCCCTCCTAACTCTATAGAAGATGGATATGAAGACACTGAAAATCCCTACCCGACCACCTGCATAAACTCGCACCGCAAAAACTCCTGTAAGCCGCACCAACAACACATTACAGGATGAACGCTGCCTTTTCTTCTACACGAACCGTACCTCACCTTCTCTGTTGTCGCTCCCTCAGACAACGACTCCGATGCTCTGAGCAGCTCGTATGAGTCCTACGAGGAGGACGAGGAGGAGAGGAGCCCCGGCGTCAGACTCACTCATCAGTGGCCCTCGGATGAGAGCTCCATGCCTCCTGCCAGAGACTGTCGCATCTGTGCCTTCCTGCTGCGGAAGAAGCGCTTCGGCCAGTGGGCCAAGCAGCTCACTGTCATACGGGAGAACAGGCTGCAGGTGAGAAGTTCACTGTCTGCAGTTTCTGGGTGTTTCTTTGCTCCTGTCACGTTTTTACTCGCCATGGGGTCATATTTCATTGCACTATAAAGTCCTGCACCTCTATGGAAACAGCATGGTTAGATGTATAGAGTGCTAAAAAAAAAAAGTCTTTTGTGCACTTTATGAACATAAAATCCATAAGTCATCAACAAAGAAACAAGTGGAACTTCTCTCAATATCTACTTATTTAAAAAAAAAAAAGGAAATAACATGAACACCTTTTTTCTAACTGCCCACATGTGATACCAATACAGAGAAAAATTCTGACTACACACTATAGATATTGTGCTATTTACCTTTTAGTTTGTTTCCATACCTGTCTCCTGTCTGCTTTGGCTGAACACAGCCTGCAGTTCAGCCTAAAAATCACATGTTTTTTCACAGCAGAGTCATTCATAGCTTCACAGGTGCATCAAGAAGCACAGAATGTATTTATTTATTAATTGTTTTTAATTAATCTGATTGAGCAGATGGTTTTGGAGATTTTTTTTTTTCAAAATGAGACCTGTAAAATAAAGTCATTCTGATGAAATATTACGGTTTCAGACTTAGATTGTGGTTCAGTTTCCTGACAGAACATCCCAAATGATTCATTTAAGGACTTTTAAAAAGTACAAAAATCTGACAATACTCCCTGTTTATACCTTTTCTTTGTCTGATAAATGGTGTAATTTTGGCGATTTTTAATTTAAAAATTGTGTACCTTACAAACCCACACACAGATTTTGGGTTTCAGAGGATTAAAGGACACTGTCTCCTTCTTTGTTTCTCTCCTTTAACCTACACAATATGTCCTCCCTTTTGCAGTGCTATAAGAGTTCAAAGGACACATGCCCCTACGTGGACCTGCTGCTGCCCCAATGCACTGTAGTCTACGCTCCCAAAGACAGCAAGAGAAAGCACCACGAGCTTCGCTTCACTCTACCCAATGGAGATGCACTGGTTCTGGCCGTGCAAAGCAAGGAGCAGGCTCACAGATGGCTGAAGGTAAATTTAGCATGCTGCAGCGTGGATGCAGAGTGTATGCAGAGTACTATATGTTCCTTAGGAATGCAGACTGGGAAGAGAGCCATCAGTCACCACTGAAAGTGGGTTTGACAGCAGCAAAGGAAGGACAATTTACTGTACAATCCAGAATAACATCTGTAAAATATCTCCACAGGTTGTTAGAGAGGTCAGCGGTCAGAGCGCAGGGCCTGAGGAATCTGCATCTCCTGTCATTCCAAGAAAAAATGAACTTGACAAGGTAAATGTAGAGGAGAGGATGTTTATGTGAGATTGTACGTGTTGTTTTTATCTTTAAGACACAATTCAACGCCACAGCTGAGGTGAGGAAAAGTCGGCGGTAAGCAGCAATTGTGCTGTCACCATCAATTTTCCTAAACAATTGTTTGGCTCAACGCACTGAACCACGATACCTGTATTTGGCTCGCAGAACAAAGAGGAGAAATGTAGTGTAATTAGGTGTAAAGCCACCAATGATAGGGGTGGCAGTGAGTCAGCGTTGGAACGCATCCGATTTTAAGGGTTACCAATGTGTGTGAACGTAAACTGGAAAAGGCTCTGACACGAAAGCACAAACCAAAGAGAGTACAGTAGTTTAAAGTGTAGCTGTTCCGCACTTTATTAGTCAGAGACAAGTGCAGACAGGCTTCCTTCTAATTTGAATCTGGCAAACAAAGAGACCCAGTGTAGGATTTGGCTTGTAAACCTGTGTTTGTGTGCTTCCTCCGCAGAGGTTATCTGCAGAAAGGAACACATCAGATTCAGACAGTGTGGGTGTGTCAGCTGGAGAGAACTGCAGAGAGAACGGTAAGACGGAGGAACACGCAGCCTCGAAACAGTACGGCAGCTGTTTGACGAAGAAATATTAACTCTCAGGGTCTGTTTCTATCTTAGTTTTTTTTTTATTTTTTCAACTCTTTGAGGGTTTTCATCAGTGGATGGAGTTTGCGCAGTTGTCATTTGTCTGTCTGCGATCTCAACCATCCATGTAAGATGGATGATGGGGATGGGAAAGATTCAATTTTTTCATCATGCGTGGGACAAAATCTATTTAGATTAAAACCAGAAGACAGACCTTAAGCTGAAACAACCTACAGATTGCTCAAATACAGCTGCAGTTTCTGTTTTTCAGCAAAATGTTTTCGGTTTAACCGGCCCATGGTTCAATGAAACTTACTGTATCACATTTGTTACAGATTTTAGTTGAATTGAAGTTCCCACATGACACTATGACAGTGAATCTGGACAAAAAAACACTTGATTAATTCTTTAATTTTTGATGCAGGTAAGGTGAAACGTGGCGCTTTAGCTGCAGGCCGTAAGATCACACGCATCATCAGCTTCTCCAAGAAGAAGCCCCCTCGACCCGGCGATCCCCGAACGTCCTACAGCGACCCCCGACAAGGTCAGACCCTGCTTCACTGTCCCTCTTCAGCTCTTCCAGTTTGCAGACACATCATTTTCCATTTCCCTTCTCGACGTGCAGGGTACCTGTCGGTGCTGGTGAACCAGGTGTGGCGGGAACAGTGGTGCTGTGTGTGCAGAGGCTCCCTGCACTTCTACCACGACAAAGGAGACCCTCGGGCCTCCCTGCCTTCCCTTCCTCTCCACGGCTGCGAAGTCGTTCCTGGGCTCGGACCCAAACACCCCTTTGCCTTCCGCGTCCTTCGGAACAGCACAGAGGTGGCTGCTCTGGAGGTAGACAGCCGTTCATTTGCTCATTTTGAAGCTGCACTGCTCATTAAATGTCATGTGAATAAGAGCTATTTCTAAGAACAAGCGTACAGAGAGTTATCACCTGACTCTGCTGTTCACCTCATTTTAGAAACTTTTGGCTTATTGTTTTGTTCAGGTTTTGATTCGCTCTCGTCAGCCTTATCTCGGTCCACACCAGGCAGCTGTTTTCAGTTAAAAAGCTCCGATAAACCGAATCCAGAGCACCTAATGAGCCAGATGTTTCTCTCAGGAGTGGGTGGAGACCAAAACAAAGTTGAAAGAAGAGAGAATATTTAACCTATAATCTGAAAGTTTTGTGCTAGACCTTGCTCCACTGCCCCGAGAAAGAAATCAACTCATATGGTTCGAATTGCTGAGAATTTAGCAATTACATTACAAATCTGATCTGTCCGGTTGTCTTTTTGGTTTTCATCGTGTTAGGCGAGCAGCTCCGAGGAGCTCGGACGGTGGCTCGGTGTCATCTTGGCAGAAACCGGCTCTGCGACAGACCCGGAGTCGCTCCATTACGACTATGTTGACGTGGAAACCATCGCTAACATTCGGGATGCTGCGAGACATTCCTTCCTGTGAGTGAGACGGACGGAGAGGGGGAGGTGTTGGGGGTATTTAGACAAAGGTCAGAGCGAGGCCACAGACCAGAGCGGTGATGTTTTGACCCTCATGTCGACATCATTTCTCCTTTCTCTCTGATCCTAGGTGGGCTACGTCCTCCAGCAGCACCTCCACGGATTCCAGAACGTACGACGAGGTTCCTAACGAGGACATACAGGTACACGTGCACGGATGCGCACATGCATTTTTCGAGTTCAGTCAAACCCTACGCTTCACTTTGATGTGACGAGATTAGAAACCGTGTGTGTGCAGCTGTTGTGGACTGTCTGAAAGCGACACCCCATATCAGTCACCCGAATAAACAGACAGTTCTCTGTTACACGCCTGTCAATGATGGCTTTTTGTCAGAAACAGAAAGAGCAGGGTGTGGGCATGGGAGAGGGGGGAAAAAAAAGAAAAAGCAATCAGACTGATGTCACGAAGGCAAAAGGTCAGAGCAGTTTTACAGCCTGTAAACCCCTTTTTTTTAAAACCCGGCTGACGTGCACTTAAACACATCTCTCCCCACCTACAGCCAGAAACACACACACCTCAAATCATTAAAATAAGATTAGTTTGTTGCTTAGCCAAATATGCACACTTTCTCTTCTTCTTCTTCTTTTTTTTTTTAACCCTCTGCCCTCATCGTCCCACATCTGTCATGTCCTCCCACCTCCTCTCTGCTCCACCCAGTCAGGGGAGAACCGCAGGCAGCAGTCTGGGAATCAAGGGAAGCGACGCTCAAGTTTCTCAAGCAGCGACTCTGACAGAACCAAGCCATTAGTCTCCCTCAAGCGAACAGGCTCAAGTAAGTGTGTTCAGTTGGGTTTTTTTTTTTTAAAGCAGCACTGCAGTAGCTCCGGTGGTACTGAGCCCGCAAACTATCTTGACAGAAATATTGAAACCTTTAATTATATGGTGGAAAGCCACTTAGTGTTCAAGCTTTCTCGCTGAGTTAACAATTAAAACATTCACGTTCAACTGATGTTTGTGTAATAATGATAGAGATGAACTATGACTCTTTTAACTCCAAGAGAATCCTGAAGATTACTCGGTGTGCAGAAGCTATAAACGGATTTTCTTTGGGTGGTCTGAATTCTATGATTGTCTGAAAGCAGACTGAACCATGCGTATGTCTGCTGTACAGAATTCAGTTTCAAAGTTACTGAAATATGCACCTAGCTTTTGAATCAATGCTTAGCAAATAAAAAGGAAGCAGCGTGTCTCTTTTTGTCTTGTCTGTCTTTGGGATAGAGTTTACAGTTTATCAAGAATGCATTGCTGGCTATCACCTGTGATGAAATTAATAGTATTGTGAGTGAAGTGTCTCTCAGCTGAGCCGATTGTTTTCTGCCATTTTTAAAGAAACACATTTTATTTAAGCTGTTTTATTGAAACCACTCCATTTCTGGATACATTTAAAGTCTTTATTAGCAGTACAAGTTGGAATATTAGTGTCATTCAGCCATATACACTGAACCAGAAACCGATTCTAAAGAAGAAGAATGATACAGAAAGTGTCACCCAACAAGTTGACAGGATTGATCCCTTAGGTTTGTTACATATGAAACAATAAAAATCTGAATCTGTTTTTTGAGATTTTCATCAGTACACTGCAAGGTGGAAATGCTCAACCATGGTGTAAAAAGCTTAATTTTCTCCATGTCTTTGAAGTCAATTATATAGTTGGAAGGTGCTTTGTAAACAAATAAATGCCAATTGTGTTACCATTTGCAAATAAAACCTCATCAACCAACAGATGGACAGTTACGAAGGCTTAGGCCTTAGGCTTGGGTTATTGTTGTAGCTTGTAAAGAGAAGATGGCCCAAAATTGATCCCTGTGGAACTCCTTTGTTATTACAAGTTTGTATAATAGAGTGTTTCTCCAGCTTTATAACAATCCAAGCTTTTACATTTGTGCCACTCAAAAGAACATGAAAAGAATAAAGAAGAAGGGCAGCAAGGTACTGTTGGGGAAAACAACAAGTAAAACAGATGATCTCTCCTATTGTGCTTCACTCGGGAGTCATAGATTCCAATTCTCTAGTGCTGTTACAGTCACTCCTCTCAACAGTGGACCAGTTCACTGACAGAAATTTGAGCTTTTCATCTGGCGCTTTCTTCTTTTCCTCATCTTCTCACTTTCCGTCCATAATCTTCGCCCTCTCCCCTCGCCTCTCCCATTTGCTCCGTTGTGTCATTCAGTCTCTGCCGTACAAGCAGAGAAGATGAGTGTCCTGGGTTTTAGAAAGTGATATCAGTGTGTTTTTCTAGCGCAGAGTTCTTGTTAATGCTATTGCTGCACTGTGGCCTTGGCTGTCACATTGTGATACATCAAAGAGGCAACGCTTTCCAGGGCTGAGAGCTTCAGGATGTAACCTGAGATTTATTGGACACTTGCATTAGATTCGCTGTCTCACCTCCTGACCCCTCAGTCTGCAGGAGTGTGTGTGTTTATCTTGTATTTGTGCATCACTGCACCCGAAAGTACTTTGTGTGAATTATGAAAAAAGGTCAAATTGGCATGCCAGGCTTTCATGTGACTTGCAGAGGCAGCATTGTTCTCTTCACACGGAGAGCGTAGATTTAACTCGACAGGCAGGTAGACGGATTGCCGTGAGAGGTTTTTGTCTTCTTCCCACAACCCCTGCACGTCTGATCTTTCACCTTTGCTCCCGCCCAGATGCCAACCAGTACGGAAGGTATGGGAAAACGCGAGCAGAGGAAGATGCCAAGCGTTACCTCAATGAACAAGAGGAGCTGGAGAGAGAGAGGGATGGGATACGGAATGCACTAGTGACCCTTCGACAGGAGAAGAGGGAGCTGAAGGAAGAGCTGAAGACAGCCTCTGGTAAGACGATGAAAAGCGACACAAATCATTCCTGGTAATTGCCGGACTCCACTACATAAATCAGGAAAATGAGTTGCTGAAATTGAACAACACGACTTGAACATGCATCGATTGTGTGTCCCCTATTACTAATCCCCTTGAAAATAAAGTGACAAATAGGGGCATAACATTTTCTGAAGCACAAACGCAGAGCAAGAGAAGATATTAGTCATTAAGTCAGATTTTTGCAGCCAGATAGTTCGATATTTGTCTGCAAACTTGTAAAACAACTTGCATATTGTGTGTATATGTCATTGCTCTTTAGCCAACCCTAGACCTCCATTATTAGAGGGGCCATATGTGAAGAGAATTCTCCCATAGGGATAAAGAAAACTGTTATTATTAAAACCAACAGCATGGTTATGAAAATGTCTAATTATCTAATTTCCTCTAGTTCCACACAGTGAACAGTAGCAGAGAAAGCATGCATAACTGTAGAATCATAGATGTATTCATAGAAGTATCTATTGTTTATAACTGACTGTGGGTGAATAAAGTTTACTATTTTATAAACTACCTTTCTGCATGTTGTGAAATACAAGTACAAAGTCAGAGATCAGAATCAGTAATCGCATAATTCTTTAAATTTGAAAGCCGACCTAAATGTTGAGACATTAGAGTATAAATGTGTGGTTTTAATCTTGTGCCGTAATGTTTCTGTGGAGCAGATAGGAGGAAGCTTTTCCTGAACAAGCGAGTGGCCCAGCTGGAGGAAGCCTGTCGAGCTAAAGAGTCAGAGCGGGTCGACCTGGAGCTCCGACTGACTCAGGTCAAAGAAAACCTGAAGAAGAGCCTTGCAGGAGGAGCGCTGGGTGCACCGGTGGAGGGTAAACCCCCTGTTAAGGTATATTAGCTGCTTTATTTGTAAAAAAGCACATCTGTCTGAATGCACATTTGAGATTAACTCCTTTACTTTTTCTTTTTCTGCAGGCATCCGGCAAAAAGATCCAGAACATCTACAGTGATTCTTTACCAGTAAACTGCGCCACGGAGATGCGAAGGAGACCTCCATCTGTTTATGCCTCTTCTACTGGAACTGTCATGCAGAAAGCGAAGGTAACGGTGCTCAAATTTATCGCCCCATCGCACAGCCACTTCCTGAACAATTCCTCTGGCTGTCACTGAGGAAAGATTTCTCTGTCAGTCTCCACGGAGAGCTAATCGAATCGCAGCAGCATGTACCATCATCTAATGGGTTTTCACAGCCGACGCATAAAGAGACAGTGTTTGCACGGCGGAGCAGTCACTTTAGATGTTTAAAATGAAGTGCAGGAATTTGCGAGTGCATTTTGAGGAATTTGAGTGAGAAGAAGTTATAAAAACAGTTTATGGATGTGTTTGTGCTTCAATTATTGACTAATCTCATGATTGCTGAACTAATTTGATAATGTTTGTGTTATTAACATTATATTGCAGTGCCATGCAGCTATTCAACCCTGTCCTAATAGATGTAGCCATGTATTGTTTAACCTTTTCTGTTATATTTTATCAAAACAGTCATAAAATACTGAAACAATGTGTACCTAGATAATATTCTGAGTTAATATTCAAACTTGTAATTTTCTAGTGTCCAATTATAAGAATATTTTTAGTAATATATCGGGATGTTCACTGGCGACCTGTCCAGGGTGTCCCCTGCCTTCGCTCTAAGTCGGCTGGGATAGACTCCAGCCCCTCATGACCCTAGTGAGGATTAAAGCGGTGTATAGATAATGGATGGATGGATCGGGATGTTCAGTTTTAACAATATTGCTGCCATTTTGCTGAATTATATTGAGGTGGAAAAGACTCGTGAGATCTAATCTATCTGCAAATATGTGCTTTGGATGTTTTTTTTCCTGTTCTTGCACATTTATTTCTGTGCAATTATTTGAAATCCATTTTAACTGAATCATCTGTTTCTGCAGGAATGGGAGTCAAAGAAAGCGACCTAAGAAGAGGAGTTTCATGCAAAGGACTTCAGATTAAATTGACGTCGGGGGGTGACTTTTTTTTCCCCACATTCTCTCCCACTAAGGATAATCTTCAGTCTACATCCCCAAAAATCCCAGACCTGTTTCATTTTGGATTACGGAGGAAATATAGAAGGTGTAATGAAAGAAATCAGCCACTAGGTGGAAGTACATCATACTGAATAGTTACTCTTCCTACTCCCTTAAAGGAGTAGTCTGATTGCAGCGACTGTACGCTCTCTGCATCGAAATATTTTCACTGTCTTTGGGAGACACAGTTTAAAATGTGTGTGTGTGGGGGGGGGGACAGCAAGTATGCAACGTTTATACAAGTAAGACTTAAGAAAAGTGTATTGGCAGCACAATGAGTGCAAAAAATGTAGTGTTGAAAAGCACAGATTGTGTTGGCGCCTGAAATGTTTAGACAATGTGGGAAAAGACAACCTAAGTAATGTGATGTGTTGGGAGATTAGAGGATGAGAGGCAGTTTTTATGCCATGATGTGCCTTTTATGATGACGATGTCTTTGTTCTGCCTGTACATAGTGAGCCACGACTACTGTTTTGTATGTTTTCTACTTTTTATACTGTCCAACGTCCCATTCCTCATCATCGTTACATGAGACGTGCAGCCCTGTGCAAAGGTTCTAGGCACTAAAATGTTGAGCGATGCCATGAATGGCTTCAGTTTATCTGCTAAGCACAGACAAACAAGAGTTTACTTGGCAGGTATGTTGTTTCAGTCATGATCGGTTGCTTCTGCCACTTTACATAATCCAAGATTGGCTCCTTGACGTGGAGATCATACCTTCTCTTCCAGGAATCTTTCTTCTGGCTGTGTTAAGGGCTAATTATGTGCCACACTGATTGTATAACATGTTGGATAACTATCTGAATACCTTAAGTGCCTAAAACTTTAGCACATTCCTGTACCTGACATGAATTTTTGGCTATGTGCCATGGAGGATAATTGTTTACCTTTTCTGACTTCTAATGTCAAGTTAAATCTGCTCGATTAAGCAGAACCGTCAACAGAACCCTACATTCACTTGACACTCTTTGACACACAATCAAGCACAGTTTAATACCCCTGTTATAGATAATTGAGTTACTAACAAAGTGGTGCTCCGTATTTCGTTTTAACACCTTCTCTGCCGAACCTGTGGTCAACTTTTGCACTTTACTGTTCTCCTACCTGGATAAGGGAATAATAAATTTGCATCTTATTTTCCAGAAAATCAATTTATAATCGTTTCTTAGTTTAATTACTTCCTCATTGAAATGCACCAACACGTCCCAGTCACTGATGTATTCCTTTAATTTCACATTATGCTGTGAAGTAGATATGCAGTATACAGTCTCGTACAAACATCGTATTACAGCCAAAACAAGAAAATCAAACACGTCTACATCAGTCACTTAATGAAGGCAATTCAATGCAGCACAGCTTAATGTGGTGCAGCTCAGGCAGGCTACTGTTTGCAACTACTTAACTTATCCTCACTTGATCTATGGACTTGTCAGTAGATAATAGAGGCGATTTATCACCACTCTTACATGCTTATATTTTGGGAGCCATCCATTCGTACATAATGATTAACACAATAGCTTTTAATACAAAGCGTGATACAAAGAAGAATCTCTGGTTTGCAGTCTCGACCCACTTCTTTTCACCAATTTGTAGCCCTAAAAAGATTTTAAATTCGTGGTACAAAAGGTTGTGTCAGATCAGTTCAGATCCAGGCAGTCGCAACTGGTCTAGGGTCTCAAATGAGGAGGTAGAGCAGCTTCAGGATGGTGAAATGACCTATTCCACAGCTTGGAACCGGCGCTCAGACAATGAGATAGTAAAGCCAATATAAGATATTGACAAAGAGGAATGCCGTGGGGAAAACGGTGCGAGCGTGACGGTCAATGTTGTGTGGATTTTCCACAACGAAGACGGATGCCGCCCTACGTGATGCTTTCTTCACTGAGGACAAACCGCAGCCCTGACTCTGAACCTTCTCTTTGGATCCGGCGTGGATCTTGGGGTCACTGTCGACCGACTGCTCCGCGGCCTCGTCTGCGGTGGAGTCGACCTCCGCAGACTGCTTTGGTTGGGTGGAGCTGACAATGGGGATTGAGCCGTTTCCATTAGACTCGCTGAACTCCCTCAGAAGCTCCTGATTGATAGACAGATAAATAGATAAAACGAGGGATCTGTGCTTGCAATATCTTAAGTATCTAACATGTGAATTTTTCAGTGCGAGTGCGAACACGTCCCTGACCCTGTGTAAGTCCTCTGATGCATGGAGCAAACACCTTGCAGGCATTTAGCCTCAACACGTAATATTTAGCTCCTTCATTTGCATTTCTGATTTGCACTCAGCAGAGGACTGTTTACATGGACACTAGTCTTGTAGATGTATAGATTTTGCAGTGCAAGTGCAGGCATGTTGCTCACCCTTTGTAAATCCTCTATGGTCTGGTGCTGCATGGTGTAAAAATGAGCGCAGGCGTACTCCAGCAGTGCACCAAAGATGAAGGTGAAGCAGATGCCCAAGTAAACATCTATGGCCTTTATGAAACAGTTGGCATTGGGCAGGGAGGTGCGGGCGCCCATCATCAGAGTGGTCATTGTCAAGACCGTTGTCACTCCTGAAGGACAGATCAGAAGTTGTGTTATTTTCTCTATATGGGATTAAGCTTTATTCCTTTTACTGGCAATGAAGTCAAATGTAGAAATGTCTTTGTCTTGCCCCACTCCTTCAGTATCTCCCCAATTTCTTTCATTGCCTTTAATTATCTTTTTCTGTCTTCTGGTTTATTTTCTTTTTCATTTTAACGACACAAGCTTCTTGTATCTATGTTTTCACAAGGACAGGACAGCTTGAACGTGAATTTGGTGCACTGAGCTTCTTTTTCTTTGACTCCAACTTTACAGCCAACTGCTTCAGTTGACACAAGACAGCAGGAGTTAATAAGTAGGGAAGGTCAAAGTCATCCTTTTTGTTCATAGGTCAGATGCCACATTGCAGGATAGAGCTTCAATTTGAAAGTCAAAAATCTAGTCAGTAGAGTCAGTAATGTCTTTCCCAGAGTTGTAACATTTACAGCTTTAAAACAGCAGTTTTTTTGGCTTATACATCCACTTTTTCAGCTGCATAAGACAATATTTAGTTTAAATATCACTTTAAATCATATCATTATATACAATTCTTATAATGTTTATTAAAAAAATGGTTTATTTATTACAAACACTCCCAAACTTTATAAGATTAAATATAAGATGTCTATGAGCCTGTATGTAATCGGCCTTCTGCAGTAAGGTTCTGGAGAAAGGATTAATGTTACGTACTCAAATGTACCAAAATCACAACACATAAAAGATCTGTTACTGACCAATGCAGGTTCTAGCCGGCACAGAGGACTGGCTGATCCAGAACGAGATCCAGGACAGAACCACCAGCAGAATGGAGGGAACATAAGTCTCCAAGATGAAGAACAACACATTCCTGCGCAGTGAAAAATGCAGCACCAGCTTGGGGTATTGTCCTGAGGAAAGACACGAAATAGCACAGCATAACACATTTGCTCTGCAAGAATTTTTCATTACAGAACTCCACATGCAAGGACGCTCGTGGGAGCTCAGGTACGGTACCTGTTTCATATACAGCCTCTGACACTGATGTATAGTAGCTCTCTACACTGTACTGAGCCAGCCGCAGCGTGTCCAAGCCCTTCACCGAATCATTCCCTCTGGTCCAGTAGAACACCACATCCTGGATGTTATAGCCCCCTGACAACACAACACACACGCTCTCATTACATTGTGGTCACTCCGGCCTGCTCAGAGTAACACTGCCTGTTCAGCTCGATACTCACTACACTGGTGATGATGAAAATGGTGATGGTGATGATGACATGGTGGTGATGATGATTTATGTCCATCTACACACTGGACGGAGCTCACAGGTAGTACTCACAGCTCTCCAGCTGCAGGGTGCACACCTGTTTGTCCATGGGGTACTTGGTCAGGTCCATGTTGCAGGCGATTGTAGCTGTGATGCTATTGGGTATTCATAGCAAGATTATTAGCAACCTGTCAAAACTCCTGTGAAAAGACTGCTGCACTTTTAATGTGAGGCATGGCGATTAATGACTAGTGAGTACAAAGGAGTCCCTTCCTTTGAGCAACAGTGAAAAGAACAAAGACTCCTGTCTGAACTGTCAACATTACATTTCGGTATCTGATGCATTAATCATGGATAAGGGGCTAGCTTGTTGGAATTCAGGCATAATCGTGAGAGCAGAAAATCTTCTCTTGATATAGAACTAATAACAGTGGACATTACATCATATGAGTATAACTGGGTTACAGGAATGACAGGTTCCTGAATCAGGCAATATTTAACCACCACTATAAAATCTGACAGTTCATGAAACAGTTCATGAATCAAAATGAGGGAGCATCCTGCACAAAATGGCCCTTTCTGCTCTCACTTAAAGAGCAAAAGTTCTGTTGCAGTGCGACAAGACAGAGTGGACGTCAGGTTAGATTTTTACTGTGGCCGTAAAGGACTCACTGAAAAATCTGTTTGAAAAAAAAGTGTTTGAAGGGCGTGAGACATACCAAAATTCAGCGCCATTCCCTAAAGTTATATGACTGAGTGATGATACATAAGTGATTTTTGTTGGCTTTTTTTTTAGTAGAACCCTGAGGCTAGTTTATGCTTGATTGCAACAGGAATCATAAAAACAACATGAAAAAGAAAAACATGTTTCCTTCCTTTCAACACCATTAGATTTCCTATTTTAACAGGTCAGCATCCGCAGACAGGGTCAACAGGTTCTGCAAAGCTTGTTTTCTGACCGGTACAAGACTATCAAATGTCAGGAAATGTCAAATCAATAAGACAAAACCTTTACAAAAAAAGAAGATGTACCGCAGAGCATAGAGAACTGTTCCATTGCTGAAGATGCGTATGAGGCGGTTTTCCACGGTGACGTCATGCAGGAAGGAACGCTTTGAGTCTGGGATGAAGGTGTCAGGGATCCAGAGCAGAGACACGAGGCGTCCATCCACGCTCACGCTCTCGTTTCCTGGGAAGACCAGCCTGGAATCACGCCAGCGCTGACGGAGGAAGATGGTTGCAGTGTAGTCCTAAAAAGATCAAGTAAAGATGATTCATTTTTTTAAATTACACATTACCTCTTCACCCACTGACACAAAAATGGGAAGAAGAGTGGCGTACCATATTGATTTCAGAGATGGCATCAATGCTGGCGATATCAAGGCTCATTCCAATTTCCACAGGACCTTCTGTAGAAGACAGAGGCATGGGGAACTTTAGAAAAAGGTCAACTTTTAATCAGGAACGACACAAACGCTGACTGCATTGACAAACAAATTCAACTTGAAAGCTACTTCTCTCTTTTGTACCGTTGAAGTTAGGTCTGAGGTAGCGGTTGTATCCTTTCATGAGCTTCTGAATTGTCGGCTGAAGCTGGGAGTCGTTCCATTCACCCCAGTGGTTGCTGGAGAACATGCAACCGCTTATAAAAGTAGAGATTAAAAACAGAAATGAGACCAGACATCGGCAAATGGATCGTAAATGTTGCTGCAGAGCATGTAAGTGCATTTTAAATCAATGTGGATATCAATATTCATATTTTTTCTTAACCCTCTACATGTGTTTTCCAGCTTTGGCTCCTCACCCCTGAGTGATGGTCAGGAAATGGATCAGCAGCATGTGTAGCTGCTTCATTGTGGATCAGCAGGCAGAGGTCAGCAGCACTGCACAGGAAGGTGAGACAAAGGCCAAGACATGAACACATAAACTGCAGCCTACAAGTCATTTTCTTGCACATTTGCAATTTATGGGCTAGCACCATTTCTCCATGAGGTGGCAGCACCTAACTGAACGTGATTGCAAACCTCAGGGGAAATCTGCAGCGCAGCAGCAATTCTCACCCTTTGATGTTATGAAACTGTGCTTTCTCCGTGCCCCTTGTAAAATTCACTGGCATCTTGTATTGATCCCCGGCTCCCTGCTCCCATTAATATATGAGCAGCTGCCCCATTTGGCTCTCCCACAGTCATCTGCGTACCCGTGCATTCAAGAACACAAGAACAAATTGAAGATGGCACCTAAGATGAGGTTAGGAGGGCTCTTTCATTTTTACATGTCTGCTTTTCCATGTTTCTTGCATCCACGTCTTAGGTTTAGTCATTCACCTACAGATTGATGTGGCCACTACCTCATGGTTTATTCACCATGCCTCCCAGAGAACTAATCCTGTCTCTAACTCATCATTCCTTGTAGTCTAGTTGTTACTCACCACCACTTCCCTCCCTTCTCCTCGTGCAGATAAATCTCAGTGTCAGTAACAAACTGCAGCCCTCTTACTTTCATCCAAATTATTCAGTTCTGTTTTGCATGTTCTTGTCTTTTAGCCGTTCTCCAAAGAAAGCAAAGATTAGATTGACATGTTTACTGAACCTCAGCAAAGTTACATTTATTATGCAATGCATTATTTACACAGTAGTGTCATTCTAAATGATCACACATATTAACACTATTGATTTCTTTTCCCAGTGACCTAAATGACAGTTAAAGAGCCATAGTGTATTATTGGATCATTTTGGTTTTGATTCCGTTCTGATTATTTCCTGCACACATATTTAGTTTTTGTTTGTTTTCACCTATTTCTTTCTGTACTTGCTGCTTTGTAGCTGAAGTCTCATTTGTTATTTGTTGTTGCTTCATGCATTCCTCCACTCATCATCTCATTCCTCTTCCAGTCTACCTTTGCCTACTCTGCCATAAACTACATAATAGCATGCCGGCCAGTGCATCTCCTTGTTTTCCTCCTCTTATCTTTTCTCACAAGTATACGTGCACACATCGAAATAACCAGCTTGTCAATTTAACCTTTTAGCCCTGGAAATATCTCAGTATCTTTACATAGAAATTCATCATTCTTGTTCTCACCCTTTCTCTTACCTGCCTTGGTCTTGCCACACTTCTCTTCTGCCTTCCTTTGTCCACCTCGGGTCACTGCTCCACTCTCTCTCTCTCTCAGCTCTATCCTTTGTTTCCTTCCTCCACTCTTCTTGCCTTCCTCTACTTCAAGTGTTGCCAGTGGTTGAGATTGGTTTCCCTTCCTCCTCGGTATGAAGTGATTATAATCCCGGCGTTTCCTCCATCTACCAATAAACCACAGATGCAGGCTAATGTCTAGTCCTGGTGTGTGGGCTACTGCTGGTTGTTTTACTGTTTGTGCAACTCCCTCCGTCTCTCTGCACCGTTATATTCATCTCCCCCACACACAGGCTCTGTGCAGCACCCCCCACCCTCCACCTCCACCTCCATCCTCTCTCCCTCTCTCTCTCTTTTTTTATGCCACTCAGCATATCATTTGCTCTGCATCTTCGTTCACTACCCTCACACACATATTACCATCTAGTTTGATCCCCCATATCCCCTCTTTTTTTCTTTTTTTTTTATTGTAATTATTTTCCTTTTTCCTTTTGGCCCTAAATCTCTACCCGCCTCCTGCTCCTCCAATACTCACTGACACTGCATCTCCTTCTGGGCTTCGAGGCTCCTCTCTGTCTCATTCCCTCATGCCTTCTCCATCCTCACCTTAAAACTAAGCTCCCCTCGCATCAGTGTCATCATCTGCTTTAGTTTCCTCTCAGTTTTCTCTTCGCTTCCATAAAACACCCAGAAGAAAAATTTTAACTCGCTTTCCTCCTGTAAAACTTTAAAAATGTCTTCATGTCTGACCATTTCTACTGTAGCTCAGGATTCATGAGTTGCACAGCCAAGCCGATGAATGTGCATTTATCCTCCTGACGGTGATTAGGGGCAATAATCAGGAGCAGCGTCTTGCTATTGGTAATAGTGATGATAATTGTGATGGGGGATGACTTATCCGCACACAGCAGTCAGCCACAGACTCAAAGACCTACGCCCTTTGTGTGCTAAACGGTCAGTCATTCATCTCCAGTAGTGCTGACATAGTGTGATTAATCTTTATGAGCTCCTCGCTCTCCACCGGCTCTGTAGCACAGCTTCAACTTTAATTATATAGCCTGATCTCTGAGAACACACTAGCAGGAGCTCTGGCATGTGTGAGAAAGCCTTTAGGGCATCCTGACTAACAGCGCCTTATGAGATTTCTGTGTAAATGCTTATACCTGCTGCAGTGCATTGATCCCCCATTCCCCAGCACTGACTGATGACGCTAACTGGTCTCTAACAAGCTGATAAGTCACTATATACTAGGTTATGTAGCACATTAGCAACAGACTACAAAGACAAAGCGCTCGTCTTCTTAATTTCATGCTCTAATGGCTGTATGTGTTGAGTAAATTGTCTTTTTTTTCCACTCCGAATGGTGACGCTGAGGAGAGCTGCGGAATGAACATGTGATTATCTGATTGGTTTCCACTTAAAGAATCATGTGAATGGCGAAGGAGAGCACACAGTTCCTGACAGTGAACAAGACGAATGAAGGCGGTTTGTGAGGCACCTGAAGAGGGAGGATGTTCGTGGTCTACCCGCGAGTCAGGGGGCTAATGAATAATTATAGCCGGTGAGGTTAGAGTGGCAGACAACTTAGTCAGCATCCAGCTGCCTGCCTCATTCCAACTGTCAGCGTCTTAATTCCGCTTTCACATCTACATGAGATTAAGCGCGCATCCCTACAATTTCTTTCCGCACTTACATGCCTGCAAAAATCCTCGTTTATTTGTCTGCCAGCCTGCCCACTTCTCTCGCTTGTTAATTAGCTCGCTCACTTCACATAATTTCTTGTTAGTATTTCAGTCCGTCTCTTTGTGTTAATGATTTATCTCATATCGTTCCAGTTTGTGGTTGCTTTTGAATTTGAATTGAATTTCACTTTTTTTTTCTTTCTTTCATTTGGAGGAGCTCGATGGTGCTTCCAGTTACAGCTAAATGTCCAGGCTTGAGAAAAGTGGCAAAAAGCTGACAAGAGGCTGAAGCTGGCTAAGACACAAATGGCACCAGTTGGTTTTTAAAAAGCTGAACAAATGGCTTCCTGCACTCGGAACAGTACACAAGTTCAGACTTTAAAGTGTGTTTCTAGGACGAGATTAATGCATAACTTGATTTCTTTTGTCGCGAGTAGGTGTTACTAATTAAGTGTAACCAGTAATGTCAAAGATAAGGGACACAATAGCACTAGTATTGTAATATATTAGCAATGTATTGCAGAGTGAGCTGTGTACAAGGCAATAATGTAATAACAGCCGATAATGTAACATAAATTTGCACTTTTTAAAATGTAATATGCCGATAACGTAATAAAAGTCCTGAACCGATAACGTAGTATCTTTTGGCCAATCATGTAATAAGTTATTATGTTATTGGCCTGGCAAAAAAACAAATAAATATATATATATGCAAATGTAATAACCAGCCAATAACGTAATAGGTTATTACGTTACTGGCCAAGACTTTTATTACGTTATCGGCTTCTACAAGGTGCTAAAGAGCTAAGGGAACACAACTTACATTTAACAAAAATGCATTCCTTTTTGGTTTAATGGTGCAACACGGTTTAATAAATTGACAATATTGAGTGAAAGACCAACATTGGGGGTTTAGAAATAAGTGATATGGCCACGTTTATATCAGTAGAATCCTCACTCCTGAAGTCCCACAAATCACTGACTGCTCCCTTTTGCACACTTCCACTTTTCATTTTAGGAGCGCTTAACCTTGCTGGCGGTAACCTGCTGCCACACTGACCTTTCATTGGCTCCACCCACCTGTCATCTTCCATCCACTCAAGAACATTTCATTCTTTTTTTCTTCTTTTCCATCAGTCCATTGCTGCGTAACAATTTTTTCCCCCCTGACACTCTTCTTCCTCCCTGTCTTTCCTCAAGCGCTCTCCTCTCTTTGGCTCTCTATCAGTACAAATAAGCACTTTAAAGACACTGTATTTCAGGTAATGCTAATCTCCTCATACTGAGGAACCAGAAAATGGAAACGTCACTGCCTGTACATTGTCCCAGTGATTTGCTGTCATGTGACAAATGGAAATGTCACAGGACTGCCCATGAGAGGGACAGAGATAAATCTCTCCTAAATGACTGTGACGGCTGCCATGTCCAGGAGGAGCACGTATGAATTAATGTGGCATCGACGCTTCCGCTCTGAGCCAGCTGTCATCTCTCCCTGTGACTGTTGCCTGTACTTGTGAGGAGGATAAAGCAGTTTCTGCAGCCTGTCTACAGCTATGAACATGAAATTGTAATTTAACTGTATTTTTCACACTTTAAGTGGGGCTTTGGCTTGTGAATTCAGGATTTACCCGCGACACCGATAAAGCCGGTTCTGCCTTTGTGCTGTGCAGTTTCTCAGAGAATTCTTCTTCTGTTCCTGCACTTGTTGATCTCAAAGTGTCAGGCTCCAGTCTTGTCTGCCTCTCTTTTTTATTCTCATTGTATTCGTTCCTGTCAAACATGGAAATCTCACAAAGACTCTTCTTGTCAGCCCCTCTATTTCCACATTATTCCTCCTTTCGTCTCTTTGCTGTTAAAGCTTTTGGTAAAGTTTTTTGTTTGCATTGATCGCCTGTGTGATGTTTGCTATCTGGTCTCTGAAGATATATATTCACAAAAGTATAATTAAAATGCTTTGAAGACAGTGTTCATAGAGCATGGCACAACATTCTGTCTGGGATTCAAACTTTAGAACTACTAAGCACAAGT